ATGAGAAGGGGGCCGGGCCGGGCCGGGCCGGGCGTGGCGTGGTGGGACCGGCCGGTCGGTCGATCCTCCGGAGGCGTCTGGCGTGGGGCCCTCACGGGTTTCCCCGGGAAGAAACAGCAGGGGCAGGCGTTCTTACCTCTAGGCCGTACTTGCGGTCGGTAACAGGGCAGGGGGCATCGGTCCGGTTGCCAGGAAAGGGCTTCTGAGGCGGGCGCCTTGGGGCTCTTGTCAGGCCGGCGGGGTGGCTGCAGCGGGCCCGGCTGGGCGTGGATCTGGCCCTGTCACGCATGTAGATGTCTGGTTATCGTTGCCTGCTCTGATGTCACAGTTAATTGGGGGAAAAAAAGGCGATGCTGTGAAGAAGTCTGTCTTTTAGTACCGTCGGTGGGAGCGGAGGAGTCTCAGCGCTTTGTGAAGCCGAGCCCTGGATATCCCATGGAAATGGAGCATCAAAGCGTTGCGGGGAAGGGTGCAGGAGGTGGGAGGTTTGTCTCGGCTGTGTTTCGTGCAGCTCAGTTTATCAGCAGTAGGTGAGGTTTTAGTCAGTACTTACAGATGGCATCCTCCAGGCAAAGAGAAGATTTCAAACCCCATTATTTCCTACGGAAGAATGATCTGGAGTGCTCTTGTTAGTCACCCTGAGCTTTCCTTTTTTTGTCCGTCCTCTACGCAGGCTGTAAGATTTCTTTTTCTTCACTTACATATTTATTCAGTAGAAGTAAATGTTGCATTGCAGCTTTTGATGGAGACAGCTGGTGACTGTAGGAAGACACATGCCAGAGTGAATCCCAGTCCCCTGACACACCTGCAGGAGGTGGAACCCCACGTGGCAAAGCGGCGCTTGGCACAGGCACGCCACCGGGCTACGCTGGCAAGACTCTTCAGCGGATTGCGGGAAGCTGTTTTATCCCAGCCAGACAACTCAGCCTTAAAGGTGCGGAGCAGTCACTATTTCTCTATGCATAGCTACTATACAAGGGTATGTTTAAATTTAAACAGGTTTATTAGGATGATCACTGTATCTTCATGGGTGCCAGTGTGTGTGTAATTTCACTGTGTGCAGCTTTCCTGGATCTCTTTTACTTTAAAGCTGCCAGCTCAGCGTAAGCAAATTGTTCACTTTGTAGTCTCTGGTCATGGGTTTATCATGTGCCTTATCTGCACTTTTATTACAGGGGTTTTGCAGCTTCTTTATAGCTTTGTGGCTTCTTTATAGTGTTCTGGAAACAAACCAAGGGATCCCATGAGGAAGCAGAATAGTGAATGTAGGAACAGAAGAAGTTGTAGGGGAGGAAGTAATTCATTCAGCGTTATGAAGTGCACTCTGTCTTCAAGACGCTCTGGAAAAGTAAGTCAGGAAAAAAGCACTAGTACTGCTTATTGGTCTCTACTAAACTAAGAAACTATTTAATTGACCCAAAATGCTACTGAAAAGATGGATATTGCCATGTTCAAGGCAGAGGAATAAACATTAGGAGTCCTTTTATCCTCAACTCTGCCACCAGTTCATTTAGTTAGATTGGGTACTTTCAGTTTTCCAGTGTGTAAAATGGAGAGGGTAATGACTGTTTGGGACAGGAATTGTCCTTGTAAAGGGCTTTGAGGCTCTGAACATGCAAAATACTGCTATCTAGGGCTGGTGCCTGCTGAGCTCTTGCCTCTCATGCAGGTTGAGGTGAGAGTTCAGTTTGCCATGTTCTGAACAAGATGCAAGTTAAGCTCAAGTCACCATGATCTCTGAAGACAAGACTAAACACATACTTGTTCTGTCTAGTCTAAGGGGACTGTCTCCACATACCAAATCTTAAAATTGCTTTTTCATAGTATCATGTGCCCCTTGTGCGACTTTTGGGGGCCAAGGAAGTTCAATATCTTCAAGAGCCTAAATACAGAAATTCACTTGTAATCCTAGTGTTTAGTGCTGGCTAAAATATCCAGTGTGAAAGCTCTGCGGGGTAGACATCCTGTCTAAGGTGATTGTGGATGGTCTCACCAATTACATAAGTCTTGAAATATTTTTGAGATGTGTATGCTTAAATGCGTTGCCCATATGTTCGCAGTTATGCTTACTATAAATGATGAAGGAATGATGTGCAGCACTGAAGTTATTCCAGTTAACATCAGTGTAGCCGAGAGTAGAACATGGCAAAGGCTTCTCCTAGCTAAATTCTCATGGGAAATGATTAGTAAAGTCTGATGCCTAAAGTTGGTAGACATCCAAGAAGACTTCACAGCATGGTATTTCTGGACATACTTCAAGAAGAGAACGATCCAAATAAGACCATTTGCTGATGAAAGAAGATCAGAGTTAAGTAGCAAATGTCTATGTGACTGGGTGTTCTGTGTATGTAATGCATAATATATGCCCAAATATTTTTATTCTATATTTAAGTTTGCTCTGGTATTAGTTCTTTCCCCTTTTCATATGGATAAGGGTAGCTGGTGAAACAACACAGTTGTTTTCACAGAGACATCAAGATAACTGAAGGTCAAAATGAAGGAAGAGTGAAGAAAACAACCAAGGCATGTTAAAACATGAATCTAGTCAGAGCAGAGAGCAATCAGTTCTGATTTCTTCTTATGTTTAGTATCAGGTTTTGCGTAAGGCTAAGAAATCTATCCAGAAGCTGGAGCAAACCTTGGGTTCTTTTCTGAAGATGAAAGGTAACTGTATGCAAATATTTGCCTTAGACAGAGTGCCTGGACTTGTTTTTTATTTATTTCTTAAATAGAGACAGATAGGTACACAGCTGAGCCCATTAAAGCATTAGAGCTAACTGTGGCTTTAGTTGTAGCAATAAAAAAGGGATAGTGAAAAGTCTGTCGACCCACTAAGCCCTGCACCTCAGAAATCCCCCTCTGACTCTCAGCCATTCCTACCCCCTCCCCAGCCTAGGTGAAGGAAGGAACAAGTAACTCCTGCTATCCCATGGCAGCAGGCAGTTCAGGCAGAGTGCCCTTGTCACCCTGCTGCCGATTCACCCCCAGCAGATGTGGGGCTGGCATGGGTCCCCAGGCTGCATGCTTGGGCTCCCACTGAGAGGCTGCAGGAGCGTGTGTGCTCCTCCCAGCCGCAGCGACGTGGCACAGTGCAAGTCACAGCCGTCACGAGCACCCAGCGTTGCGAGTCAAGCACAGCCAGAGCTTAAATTTCGGCAGGCTCTGGCGTGAGGTAAAAAAGGACAGAGAAGCTGTTGAGGATTTCCTAGTATAGGAAGGGGAAGCCTCTATTTAAGAATTTACTCTGATAGAAATGGGTAAGAGGGATGCTGCAGCTTGGTGGGTCATCTTCACGCGCTCCTCTGTTACCACCTGTGACACCATGCGTCACGCTGGTCTAGCATGTGCTGTCCGCAGTTGAGGCAGCTCCTGCTGCTGGGCTTCACGCCCTCGCCAGCGTGCCTTCTGTTTACTGATGCTGGCCACTGCCTCCAGGGATGGCAAGTAGGCCAGGGGGCTGATGGGGTAGAGACTTTGGGCATACTTCTGTGTCCCTTCAAGTGTCCAAATTAGCGTCAGCTAGAAAAAAACAATGCTATTCATGCAACTTGCACCTCCAGTAATTTTTGTCAAAAGTCCCAGTGCTTAAAATAAGCAGTCTCCTCTGAACCCACATCCTTGGATAACCCATAAAAGTCAGTCATAGGTAGAAGCAGTAGTTTGACAGAGCAAAATTGAAGGGGTAACTTCCCCTTGTATTTACTTGCATATATGTACAATTCGTACTGCTTGTGAATCATGGGTTGGTTGTCAGAGGTTTTTACGTGCAATTTCCTCATTATGTGGCAATCACAAAATACTGTGTTGACTAGTGCTTGCCTGGACTTTGATTTGCTGGTTGTTTTCACCATCAGTTCTGTCAGACCAATGTTAGGAAGAAGGCATTGATTCTAAGTTCCTCAATGATCTTAAACTCCCAATAATGCTAGTTACATTGTAGGAGGGGCAGAAGTTTCTCCTTTCACATCATTTTTGCCTGACAAAAAGCTCTGGCTCGTGAAGAACCAGTTGTTGAAATTATTCTGTTTGATTGGGGCTGAGAGAGAGGGAAGCCAAAAGTGCCACTGATGTGACAGTACCTTTCTACTCACAACAGAGTCCTTCAGTCTGGAGGATGGGAACCCGTCCAGCTTGGAGGAAGTCAGGGAGGAATATGTCAAGAGGCACTTCAGCAATCACAGGTAAGGGCTTATACCAATCAAGGAAAGATGATAATACTTTGCATTTGCTTCCCTCCCAGCATCTCTGAACCTCTTTGTCATTGTTACTGAATTTTCAAGCAGAGGCCTTTCATCGTGAGGAAAAGATGAAGAGATTTCACCTGGACCCCTGTAATCCTGTACAGTGCAGAAACACTTTAAGTGTATTGTTGGTCTCATTTCCAGTCAGTGCTTGTATTTCCTTTCCCTTCTATGTAGCTGATCTCCACCAAGGACTTCTCATTTGCTGGCAAAGCGAAAGGAGGAGGAGAAAGCTGGCTCGGGAAGAATGGCCCTGGACTCGGGAGTGACCATGACAAGGACCTTATTAATCCAGTTAAGAAGTTGCTCATGTGGCTTTTTTTCCTGTGTGTTCTTTCCAGCACTGCATCAGCCTTGGAAGCTGTGAGTGAGAGTGACTCTACCGTCTGGCATCTGATTGGAGAATGTGAAAAACAAACACTGGAAGAGGATGGGAAGCCAGAATTGATCCAGTCTTCAGAGACTTCATCCCCAGATCTGGTGGAATTTGAACGGTAGGTGCACCCCATGTTGCCTTCAGTTTTTTAACTTGTTGGCATTAACACTGTGCATCCAGTCACTGCCATTCATGCAGCCCTGCTGGAGCCTGCATCTGCTTTGCAGAAGCCTTGTGCCAGCAGCTTTGGCCCTGCTGGTGATGAAGCTGAGCACCTCCCCTTACCTGTGACTTGCATGTGAATGGACTCCTAGCGTCGTAGCAGCCCCTAGTTCTCCAGGCCTTGGAAAATCCCTGAGGAAAGACAAAAAATTTCTTTCAAGTGTGTCAGTCCCTGTGTGGCCATGCCTTACCACTCTCCATAGGGCTTGCAGAGTAAGATGCAACATACCTGCTAACAGTAGTGGTTTAACAGGCAAGCTCAGGTGGAATAGGAGGTTATTCATCCAGAATGATTTATGCAGGTGCCTGTCCCTGTGTGTTTGTGGTATCAGTACCACTATCAAGCTGTATCCCTGCAATGGGGCTAGGTTTTAGGAACGTAGGAATTGCTGCACCAGGTTAAATTCTCAAGAGTCTAGCTATGTGTGTTCTGGGGAGGTGCAGGAACCA